CTGATGGTGGACCATGCCAGAAGTGACAGCAACCTTGAAGTCAAAGTTGGACCCTCAACTTTGGGTGAGGGGTGACTTGTTGGGACCACAACAATGAGTGGCCTTTGAAGTCACACCGCTGCCCCTTCCGTCTTGCTCCCTGCCTCAGGCCTCCTGGAGCGGTTCTGACCCCACCCTGAGAGGGATGTAGAGTGTGAACATGACCTCGGGGTCTCTGGTCCACAATCTGCACACACAGCAAGGCGTTGATCGCCCACCAGAGGGCACTGCGGCCGAGCTTGCCACACCACTAAACCCTACACGGCTTCCTGAGTTACTCATTTCCTTCGCTCTCCCATCAGTCTGCTCTCTTCCACGCCCAGGGCTGTTCTGAGTAACACGGAGAGCACAAAGGGTGAGGCGAAGCCCTGTTCCGGAGAAGCTCACGTGAGGAAGGGTGTGGACATGGCCCTGCTGGACCACGATGAAGGAAACGGGCGGACACGGAGTGGTGACCGCTGGGGGCCGCCGCAGCGGGAGAGGGAATCCAAGAAAGAGGCTTTTGACCTTGACTTCCCAGGATGAGCCAGTGAGTCAGCTCCCACTCTGCAGGCCCCAGCACTTCCTAGCAACCCGGGTCAAGCCCACCCGAGGGCTGCACACCCCTTACCTATCCTCCCAGCTGCCGCTTCTTTGACTCCCACTCCAGCTGTCTGGGCAGCTGGGACATCGCAGTCCGAGGAATGCTGCTCCCAGCCCTTGCCAGGAGGGGGTCCGTGGCCAGGTTGCCTCCCATGCCCTGTAAGTAGGTATAATGGCAGGCTTGCCTGCAGCACTGATCATCAGTGGACTCAGTTCTGTGAGTGCTGCAGCCCCTTCTCCTTACCACACTGTCCCTGTCCTCGAGCAGGAAGTGGGGTGCTCTCCTGGGAGGCCTGCCCAGCCTGGTTTGGTTTGGGAAGATGCTGCCTCAGGTGCGAGCCTTAGAGCCCCAGGAATCTCATGGATGAGTGGGGTCCTGGTGATTGCACCTGCCAGGGTCTAGGAGTGAGTCATCAGGGAGAAGAAGGGGTGGGGAGGACCTCTGCCTGGCTTGATCCGTGAGTGTCAGGGGGAGGATGGCACCGTGTGTGTGTCTAGCTCAGCTGTGCGGCTCTCCTGGAGTCTCGTGCTGTCCACCTGTGAAGTGGAGGTTGTGGGTGCCCCAGCTGCTCTGAACAGGTGACTGTCATCTCTTGAGGACTCCCCTGTCCTCGGAGACAACAAGCCTCTCCTTCTGCTGGGACCTCCTCCTTCTGCAATGCTGGCTCAACACGGGCTGCCAAAGCCAGGGGAGATGGGCTAATCCAAAGATGTCAGTGTTTCGAAGCAAAAGCTGAGAAAGTGCTTTGGACTAAGAGACTTGGCCACATGCCTGTCCTTATGGCAGTTAGTCCTGAAAGGAAGGAAGGCAGAGAGAAAGAGAGAATATAAATCTCAGAGCCTGGTTGTCTCTGCTGGGGCCGGACCCACTGACTCCCCACAATGTGGAGGTCCCCTCTCTGAGATTCTGGGAATCACTTTGCTGACTGGCGCTGGCTTTCCAGGGATCTCTTTCCTGCCTGGGGCGTGAGCAGGAGCCAATGAGCCAGCATGTATGAAGCGCTCAGCCCCAGGTCTGACCCATGGCAGGCTCAGTGGGCATGAATTCCTTTCCTTAATGGGCACCAGGCAAGGATGAAGGCTTGGCAAGACACCAGGAAGATGTGAGCCATCAGCACTCGCAGTGATGCAGCTTAGCAGCCCCTGGGAGATTAGCACCAGGTGCCCTGGGACCCGGCCGAGCATCCCCGGGGGACCAGAAGGACCCAATGGCACAGTTGGTGGTTAGGAAAGGAAAAAGCTAAGAAAAAAAAAATTCCTTGCCACCCCTGCTCCATTTGTGGAAAGAGACGTTCTCAACAGGTACTCCCTGGGTGCTGGGGTTCCTGCGGTACCTTGAAGATGGGTGCCCAGAAAGCGGGACATTTGATCTGGGTTTTGAAGGATGAATAAGAGTTTGTCAGACTAGAGCAAGGACCTGGGGAGGGACACTGGACTGTCACCTCCAGTCTTACCCACCATACTTTGTACAGAGTGTGAGGATTCCATGCCCTGGGTTGGACTCGTCTCAGTAACAGAACCTCCAGGCACACCATTCTCTCCGACCTCTCATCCACAGAAGAAGCAAATGGAGCGTTTAGGCTTAAATAAGATCCTGAATATGCAACACACGGAGAAATGCGCTGACAGAAACCCGCGCTACCCACCCCGTAAGGTCCAGCTCCAGTGAGAAGCCTTTATGTGATCAAATCCAGGGCCTTGAAATGACCACATGGTGAGCTCTTATTAAAGCTCAAACACTGAACTACGGCAGTGCTTGGCATCATGCTTGCCATGGCTGATTCTCCCCCAAGTAGGTACCCTCCTCACCCGTGATAAATGGAGGTCACTCACGGCCAGTGTGGGGCAAGCCGGAGGAGGGGTTACAATTTCGGGACTAGCCCAAGATACCCCACAAGGACGGGCACGGGGATTTTTATGGTTCAGATATTTTTATTTGAGAGGCAGAAATGGAGAGATCTCCCACCCTCTGGTTCACTACACAAATGCCTACAACAGCCAGGACTGGTCAGGGCGACATCAGGAACTCAGCGAGGATCTCCTGTGTGGGCAGCAGGGACCCAAGGACTCAGACCAGCACCTCCCAGGGTGGACAGCAGCAGGAAGCTGGAATCCAGGCGGTCTGGAGTCAAGACTTGAACCCCAGGAAATCCCGTATGGGAGGGAAGGCATCTTAACCCCTAAGCCACCTCTCCACTTCTGCCCCTCCAGCGCACAAGTCCAGGCTTGCTTGTTGCAAACACATCCGCTGGAGGAAACCAGGCACCTGCGGGGTGTCCCGGGATTCCGTACCCTCTTCCATTGCAGGGCGGGGGCCAACCCCACACGGCCTTCAGGGCCCAGCCAGAACTTCTACACCAAGCCCAGCCGCGGGCCTGCTCCCGCCCCGCCGCTTCCGCCCAAGGTCCTTGGAGAAAATTCCATCCTCGCCTGACCCAGCGGCCCTCGCACTGGGTTTTTTTCCAAAGGGGCGAGTCCGGGGCTGGAGCTGACCCTTCGCCCCTCCTCAGGGCTGCGGTCCCAGAGGCGGCATCCCAAGGTCGCTGCTCCTTGGGGACCGGTGGGCCCACCGGAGGAGCGGGCTCGGGACGTCCCGGCAAACAGGAAGCCAGACAATGGCTGCTACTTATCGCGCCGCCCGCATTCCTTTCAGGTGATGCCCGCGTGCGCGCGCGCGGGGGGCCGCTGCCCAGCGGGAGAACGGGACGCCCCTCCTCTTGGGCTCTTGCACTGGGGAAAGGCAGGGCCTCGGCCCCACCCCTGCCCCTCCACGGCAGCCAGAGGCTTGAAGGGAAGTGGAGGTGAAAGGACAGGTTGCTGTCACTCCCGCATGCCAGGATACTGGCGTGGGTTCCGGAATCTAGTGAGTCAGTCAGTCCCAGCCCTTTGGGACCCCCAGCCCGGTGAGGGAGGTGATGCAGTGGGTGAAAGGGCAGCAAGCAAATGAGTTGGGACAGGTGTGTGTCCACGCTGCTTATGGGGAGGGGTCGTGGACCGGCACGGGTTCTTTGTGACGCACCCGGCACACTGGCAAGCACAGGTACTGGCTGGATTCCATCCGGAAAGGGCAGACTGCGTGGAAGGGCACTCAGGCTGGGGAATAGTGTGAGCAGGACACATGAGGCGCAGTGAGGACCTGGGGGTTGCCTGGGCACAGATGACAGCCTGTGGAAGAGGCTGGTTGGGTTGGTGTTGGCCTTGATGGCCGACCTGCTGCCTGGGCTGGTTTTGCTGGGAGTCTGGGAGGAGAGAACTGTGGTCGCAGGCCCAGGTTGATCCAGGGACAGGGAAGGACAGGGTGCTTGGAGAGGCTGACGCTCCAGTGCTGTTGGGGCCAGCACCCCCTTGCCTGCTGGGCACAGGCACCGGTTCTGCTGATTGGTGGGCTGGGCTGCCCCCTCCGCCTGGCCAGGCAGTGCTGATTCAGCGTCTGAGGAGCAGATTCCCACGGCTTCATTCTCAGAAGGCCAAAGGCCCGTGCCACCCATGCCCTGCCTCCAAGTGGGTCAGTGCCCTGGGCACTGATGGCAGTTCGGGCTCAATGGAGGCTGAGAGTTCCTGCCCACCCACTCTGCCAGCCAGCGGCACCTCTGAAAATCCTTCCTGCTTTATAAATCTGTTCTGCCCTGCCACTGGCCCAGCTCACCACTCCTCGAGGACCCAGGAAACTACAGTTATCAATACTTGTGGCTTTTTTTTTTTAAGATTTATTTATTTGAAGGGTAGAAATACACAGAGATCTTTGGTCTGTTAGTTCACTCCTCAAATGGCAACAACAGCCAGGCCTGAGGCAGGAAGAAGCCCGGAGCCTAGAACTCCATCCGGACCCCCCATACGGATGCCGGATCCCAAGCACGTGGGCCACTCTCCACTGCCTTCCCAGGCTAGTAGCAGAGAGCTGGACTGGAGGTGGAGCAGCTAGGATTTGAACCCATGCTCATATGGGATGCCAGCGTTGTAGGCAGTGAGTTCATCGGATGTACCACAACGCCAGCCCCAATACTTTGGCTTTATTTGAAAACAGTGAAAAGAAAAATAAATATCTCTGAAGAATAAGAATTACAGGGTGGAGTAGGGGTGGGGTGGGGCTGGAGACTTGGGGGTGTCCTGGCTTTGGTAGTGTTTATAAGGATGCCAGGGCCCTGGGATCTGTAGGCCCAGTTCCTCCCCTGCCAGGTCCTGTCCCGTCCCCACTGGGAGGTCTGGGGGCTCCGCGAACCTCGCCTGCCCGCTCCCAGGCTGGGCGCTGCATCAGCAGAACCCATGGGGATTAAAACCCTGGCGCCCGCCTGCGCCCCGGCTCCGCCGGGCATGGCGGAAGTGGCTGGCCCCTGCCCCGAGGGGAGGCGCTCTCCCACTGGCTGCTTGAGCCTGGGACCCCAATCCAGGCCTGGCCTCGTGCCCAGAACCTCAGTGATGCCCCATATCTTCCATGCCCACGCGGCCCCAAACGCCCAGTACAAAGCTCTCAATGTCACACTCGTTGGTGCCTCTTAGGATGCGGAAGTGGCCCCTCTCGCCCCAGGCAGGTCCCCAGGAGTTGGCTGCAGTCTGGGAAAGAAAAGGCAGATAAGGCAGAGGGAAGGGGAAGAGGGTACAAGGGGCGGCTGCAGGTGGGCTCAGGTCCCACGTGTCCCCGAGGGACTCACCCAATATTTGAGGGTCCTTCCATCAGGTAGCGTCTCCTCTCCCCACCTGTGGGCAGAGCAGGAGTGGGCACTGCTGCACCTGCTGTCGGGGACTGCACCTGCTAGCGTCTTCCCTCTCAGGTCCTTGCTGCCTTTTGGACCTTGGCTGTACCCCTAGCACTTAGTCTCTGTCCCTCTCCGCACCTCCCTCCTGTAACCTACAACCCCCAAGCCCTCCATGGGGGAAGAAGTGAGGAGAGGAGGGACCTTAGGACCCATTGTCCAGGCACTTAACATGCTGGGGAGGGTTCTGCACAACCTCACACATCTGCCCGCCGTGGCTCACTCTGGGGACCCGGAGACGGATGGCTGCTTGGGGACCGGAAGGGAGCGACTTGGCATACGTGTGGGGATTGCAGAGGTCCCGAGGGCCCAGTCTGCTTTCTTGGATGGGTGTTCACTGATTTTATTGAAACCAACAGCTCCAGCATCTCCCATCGTATCAGGTTGTGGAAACTGAGGCCCATGGAAGGGACCTGCCTAGGTCGCTCGGTGAGTTGGCAGGGTTGGGACAAGTGCTGAGGTGGGCAGGATGGGGGTGAACAATTCCTGAACCTGTGTCTTGGTCTCACAGGGGCATATTTGGGTGCAAGAAACTGCTCCTAAGTAACCTACAAGGCCACTTCTGGGTGGCTCCAGGCAGGGTCCTCTGAAGGGGTTGGGGGTTATTTTCAGCTTTGTAGGGTGGCTTGGGATCCACGCAGACTCCAAGCTGGCACTCCTCCCACCCGGGGCAAGCTCTGTGGAAACCCCCCCCCCAGCCTCGTTCTGCTCACAGGGTCCTCACCCTGTGATCTTGACCGAGTGGGTACCGTGCCGGCGATAGCGCTCAGGCCTCCCGAGGCTCACGGGCGTGTGGCTGTAGATACCGCCCTGGTACAGGAAGAAGTCCTCGTGCACTTCCATGAGAGCTGTGGGCAGAGGGCAAAGCAGGACTGTCTCAGTGCCCTGCTGCCTGCAGAGAGGAAATGTGACCCTATTGCACCCAGCCCCCAGTGGAGTTGCTGCGTGATACTGGACAGAGCTCTGGGCTGTGGTCCTGTCTCCAGCATCTAGCTGGCCCAGCTTCCAGAGGCGTGGGGTGGGATGAGGGACACCTGCCAGGGGAGCATGTACCTTGCACGGGGCCGTTCTCCAGTAGCTCCTTCATGATCTCTTTCTCCTGGAAGCCAGTGGTTGGATGAGCAGAGCATCCATCAGGGTGGGCGCCTCCCGCCTTGGGCTAGCCCCCAGCTCCCTCTCCTGCCCTCAGACTGCTCGCCCATGTGCACACTTACATTGGAGCCAAGGCGGTAGGCTGGAGTGACCTGGTAGATGTCGTTGGCGTGGACGTGGCTGTTGGGGCAGCGGGCAGTAGCCTGCCGCTTGCCCCGACCCATGGCTCGGCTGTGCATCATGCAGGGAGGGGCGGGGCCAGCCTCATCCTGCTCACGGCCCGAGAATGGGTAGCAGTGGTCCGACACAACCCTGAGGAGGTGACAGGAGGGAATAAGGGCAATGGGTGGTACAGCATGGCCTACAGCGTGCCCTGTCCATACCTCCGCCCAGAATGCATACCCTCGGCGTCGCAGGAACCACCAGGCACCATCGAGACGCCCGCCGCGACAGCCCTGCTGATGGTGCCTGTCACAGGACAGCAGGTTCTGGGGCGATAGGACAGGTGTCATGTGTCCCAGAGAATGGATGGAGACACGGTCAGATGCCACGGCTGGTGGAAGGAGGCAGAGGGGCCGTCAGGGAGGCTTGAGCCCTGGGCGCCCCCTTCTGGCCAGCCAGCCCCTTGCCCTTGGACGCACCTGCTGTGGAGAAAGCCCAGGACCCCGCACAGTTGCCCTGGTCCAGAGGCTCGTGGATCATGTTGGGCCACTTCTCGGAGGCCTCAAAGGCCGCAGGCAGCACCTCTCCAGGACCCAGTCCGGTCTGCAAGACAGAGGTCACACCCCATGCCTTCTGGCCTGCCTCTCAGGGGTCAGTCGGAAGTTGGACCTGGTGCCCTCCTCCTGCTGAGGGAGCCCGGCAGCCTCCTGTATGGACTTGAGTGCGACAGCCATGCCCCGCACGGGGCATGCCCTGATGCGGGAAGGGGCCAGGCTGAGGTCTCCCTCCTTCCCACTGTCCACCCTGCCTCTTCACCTCTTAATCTGCCACACCCGTCTTTCCAATGGAACTGTGGCCTTCAGTCCCCCAAGGACAGGGAGGAAAGGAACACTAGGGTCCCGTGACCAGGCAGGCGGCCAAGGCAAACAGCAGGAGGCAGAAAATATCTAGAGGCCCCGGGGGAGTGAGGGCAGGGGCAGGGTCTGGTCACTCCAGCCTCGGGCTGCAGTCCCTCTGCGGAATGGTGACTCCCGCCAGTCCCCGGTCTCCATGGCTGCCGCTGCTTGGGCAGGTCCCCTGGCACATGCCCAATCCCTGCCCTTCCATAGCCTGTATTGGACGACAGCTAAGAGTTCTTCCCCCAGAGGGCCCCTGGGAAGCAAGAGGTCCCCTCCTCCCTGGGGATACCCCTCCTCTCCCAAGCCAGCATTTGCTTCTTTGAATTGCTGCTCTCTGACCAGAGCTGGAAGCGTGTCTGTGCCTCCCTTCCCAAAATACCAAGGTGATCTCTTGACCCCTTGGGCCCTAACCCAGCTGTCCTGGGACCAACAACATTTTTCCCACACTGAGGCTAGAAAGGGCCACTGCTGGAACCACACAACTCAGAATCAGAGCATGAATTCTGCCAGCACAGCACCTCCTATTACAGGCAGAAAGCAAAGACCCAGAGATGGGGAGTCACTTTCCCAGGGACACACAGCCTACTGGTTGGTGATAAGTCCAGCCCTGAGAGGTACAGGACACAGGGTGCTGTTGTTCCTAAGGACAGATGTCATGGCGGGGAGGCAGGGGAATGGCAGAATTGCGGGAAAAGATGGACTTACGTAAATCTCATTCATGTTCATGACGGATGAAGACGGGCGGTGGGTGCCCAGGCGGTAGCGAATGCCTTCATCCAGAGTCATGCCCCAGAAGGCACTGTGGTTCCCAGCCTGCCACCTGAAGGAGGGGGGTCGTCGCAGGAGAAAGTCACATACTTGTCAGGGCTGGGGGTCCCTGGGGCACGCGTGTGTGGGTGGGAGCCAGTGTGTGCTTAAGAACCAGTATGATGGGGCATGTGTGTCAAGTACCATGCGTGTCTGTGTGTTTGTGTATGTGTGTACACATGCATGCGTGATTGCTGTGGAGGGGAGGGGCGGGGTTCCAGGGCTTCTCACCCGTAGTTGCCCTGGTTGATGGCATTGATCATGTCTGGGTCCACCAAGCATGGCTCCTGGTCACACTCCCACTGCCCTTTTTCCTGGCAGGTGCTAGCAAAAAAAAAAAAAAGCAGGGTGACTGGGTGGGTCCCTCTGAATGAATGATGCCTCAGAGGCCATGGGATTCCCTAAAGGTTCCCATCGATGCCGCTGGCTTTAAATGTCAAACTCAAGTTCACCTTTCTCAAGTTCAGCTCTGCATCCAGATCTGAACTTGAGAATCGTAGATCTTGCTGCTACTTCACACCATCAAGGGGGTGCCCAACAGCTCCAATTTACACTCCAAACAGAAGGCCTGATCTCCCTCACTCCTCTTCAAATGCCAGCAATGTGATCTTTCCTGGAGGGCAGCTATCCCAAAGCCACCCTGAGCTTTGTCTTCAGAGTCCCGCTGGGTCAGCCTCAAAGACCTCCTCCCGCTGGCACCAGCTGTGGCTTGCTCACCTTTCACCTGAATGCTGGCAGCTAGCTTTCATTGTTCCGCTCGCGTCCCACCTGCGTCACTCCCCACCCATGGTGTATTTTTAAAGCAGCTGGACTGAAGCCAGATCATGCCTCTCCTTTGCCCGAACCCCCCACCTTCCCATGGCAGGGTGAGAACCACGGTTCCTGCCATGGGCATGGGGAATGAGGCCCTGGGTGCTCTCTGTCCACCACCTCTTCCCTGACCCTGCCAGCTCCTGCTCCTGATTTTTGGGGCTCAGACAGGCCATCCCTCTGATCCCTCCTGCTCCAGGGCCTCCCAAGTGCCCGTGACTCGCTCTCCTGTGTTCCAAGTCCTTATGGAGCATCACCTCCTCTGGGATGTCCCTTCGGCCGCTGTATTCCCTTTCTGCCTGCACAGCCTCAAGAAAACCAAGTGTCTCAAGGGCAGGTTTGGTTTGGTGATCTTCAAGGCCTAGGAAAACGACACCAGCAGATGGTAGGGGCTGGACCAACAGCCGTGGGATGAATGAGTGATGGAGATACTGCGGTGAAGTGGCCCAGTGTAAAGGTTTTGGATTCCAACCCTAACCACAGGCGAGTGACCTTGGAAAGGAATTTGAGCTCACCCTCAATATCCTTGTCTGTTCAATGGGGATGAGAGTAACAGTGTCACTTCCCAGGGATGAACTGATGGCTTGGGGAGTGCCCACTCCATTGGAGGCACCCATTGTTCTTGTACCCCTTTTCTCTTGAACTTCAGAGGCTCTCCCCATCTTGGAAGTGCAAGCCATCTCAACCTTAAAATGGGCCAAATTACCTTCTCCCGCAATCCCTGCAGTTGTCATGTATCCCATCACCAGCAGGTGCTGGGTCTGGCGCATCATGAACCCGTGAGCTGCCCACCTTCCGCTGTCCACCATACTTCAGGCCCTCTGCACCTCCCATCTGGTCCAGGACAAGGGTTTCCCCATGAAGCCCGAGTCTCTGTGCCATGCCTCACCCCCACACACCTCCTAAAGCCAGAGAGAACTATGATAACGGAAGTCTGTAGTGCCTCCTCTGAGTCGCATCCCATCTGGGACAAAAGGCAGAATCCTAAGCTGACCTGCCAGGACCTCTCTGTCCCTTCACCCAGCTCCTGCTGAAACAGACTGTGTCCCACCTCCCACTGGGTCTTCCCAGCCACCCCCCGCCCCTCCCCCAGGCCTGGGGCATTTATCCTCCTTTCTAGCCATCTCCATGGAGCCCCAAGAGCATCCTCCTTTGGAGCAGGGTCACTCTTGTCCCTGTTACCCTTCCTACAGTTTGTAATGATCAGTTGATTGCAATAATACACCTGGTGGGACCAAGTGTATTGTGAATTTTGTTGAATTCTCCCCATACCTCCTATTCCCAGCCTGGTCCTTAACAGCTAGGTGTGACCCAGAAGTTGGATTTTACAAATCCTGTGATTCTTTTACAAGCTCCTAAGTGCAATTACAAGCTGCTAGCGGCCTGGCCTTCTCTCCTCTCCAGCCAGCCAGGGGCTCCCGCCTCCAGGGTTGCCTTTTAAGGAGCCTTGAGGGGAGCCAAGCCCCAGTATGGCTGGGCTCCGGCCCTGGAAGCAGCCTGCGCACTTTCTGAGAGGGCCCAGGAGTGCCAGGGGGAGGGGAGGGAGAGGCGTGCTGGACAGGCATCCGGGAGGGCTAGCTCACTCCACATGTGACATGATGTGCAGCCTCCCACACCTGTCCCCAACCTGTCCAGGAAGGGCTGGGGGTTCTTCAGACCTTTCTGGCCCCTATCTGCTTGGCCCTCGGGGCTGTTGCCCGAGCAGGTCTAGACAGGGCTGGTGGCAGCAAGTCCCAGCATTCCAGAGGGGCCTGGGAGGCCAGGGCCCAGGGACAGGAGTGGGAATGTTAACCCCTCACTGCCCAGAGGTGGCTGGTCAGGACACAGACACAGGCTGAGCCGCCCACCCGCCCCCTGCCCTCGCCATGACCTAGGCACTTCTCACCCTAGTGAGGCAATGGAAACCTTCCACCAGCCTTCTCTCTGAGGCCCCGGCAGAGGCTGAGGGTGGACTGGGTGCAAGGTCCTTGTTATTTTCCAGGAAAGCACTCACATTTCCAACCCGATCCTGCTCCTCTTCCCAGCTCAGGCTGAGAGGGGGCATCCTCCTGCCGGGAACTGCTGGGAGGGGCTGCATTCTAGGGAAGGCCCTGTTCCGGTTGCCTTTGGCCACCAGCCCAGCCAACCCTGACCCTATCCGGTCCTGGGGGGCCTGCAGACGCTACAGCCAGAGGTTTCCTTCCTGGCGTACCTTTTCGGGCTGTCCCGCGACAGCAAGAACAGTGGGGAAAGGAGGGACTCCCCATTCAGGGGTGGCACTTGGGCCAGGCAGCAGCCACAGCTGGCCACTCCTGGGGAATGTGGTTAGAGGGGCATCATGGAAATCGAATCAGTGGCTGCTAAAATTCCCCTAGATGACTCTGGATAAGGATGCCGAAGCTTAGACAAGGGAAAGGACTTGTTCCCAGCAAGGGACTGGCAGAGGCAGAGTTTGAACCCAGTGTGTGGGCCTCCCAGCCCCAAGGACAGCCTGCCCACAGGCCCCAGACACTCACCAGCGGTTACAGTTTTCCCAGAACGTTCCCAAGACAGGATAGACACGGCCCCCATGCACGCATCCTGCAGGGAAGGAAGGGGAAATGAGAACTGGAACCAGGACCAACATACTGGGCTGAGGCAGCCAGGTTAGCAGAGGTCACATACCAAGCTCTCCAAGGTCGCCTGAGCCCTCCCAGACCCCAGCCCTCTCTCAAACCAAAGCCACTGTCACTTTAAGCAGCTCCTGTAGGGTCACATGCCTACTGCTACTTGGGAAGTTCTTCATCAACTCCAACTTGAACCCCTTTTGCTTCACTTGGATGCCAGCCACCACATTCCTGGGATCTTTTGCCATTTAAGATGAACTGAGGCTGGGGGGTGGCCCGTGGAAGGGGGCTGGGGAAGCTGAGAGCCAGAGAAGGTATGAGTCCTCTGGGACAACACAGCACATGGGTGTATGCCTTCCTAGCCCCAAGTCCTGAGGAACTGTGGGAAGGACAGAACGAAGCAGGTGCATGGAAAGGGGTGATGATGAGGGCTGGAAGAGGGACTAGATTCCATCCACCTGCTGGGTATGACCAGCCATTGCACAGGCATGGAATTCTGAGCGCAGGCACAGTTATGGCCCCCGTGACCCTGACCAACCCCTGTGCACATTATCAACCCAAGAGTGAGTCAGCAGGTGGGGCTGGCACCTCTCCTGCCCACAGGAACAGAGACAGGAGTGGGAGAAAGGGCGGGTGCCTTTTCCTGATCCCACTTTGAATCCCAAGCAGGGACTTTCTCAGCCTTGCTTGGAAAGAGTCAAGTGGGACCACAGCGAGGACTCCCCATGCTCCTCCTCTAAGAAGCCCTCACCGGGGAACCCCGTCCTGTCAATTCCCTCCAAAGTCCTGCTGAGTCTGGGGGCTCACCACGTGCTCCATGCTCACCTTGGATGGGAGGGAACGGAGGCGGCACGCCCAGGCAGAAGTCCCAGAAGTCAGGGCAGCAGTCGGAGACCGTGCGGTTGCAGAAGAGGTCGCAGTAGCAGGTGGCGCCCAGGTAGGGCAGGGCACAGTCATCGGAGCGGCCGCGGCAGCACAGGTCCTGCTTCTGGCAGTACCTGCCACCCGCGTCCCGGATCCCTCGCAGGTGCAGCCCTGGCGCTAGTTCCCGGCGCCAACGACTCCGCCGGGTGCCCAGAGTGACCTGGCCAGTCAGCAACAGCAGGAAGAGCAGCCCTAAAGGAAGCCGCCACATGACGCCTCCTGGGCCTAGGGAGGGCAGAGGTTAAGGGTGAGAGACCGTGGATTGCAGGGTTCACCTCCTGGCAGAGGAGGGACTCAACCCTTGACTTCCTGAACCACAAGTTCAAGGTGGGACACCTGGGCTCCTGAGTCCCCAGGCGGGCCACCGACAGAGGCCCCCACCTGTCTCTACCCAAAGTTCTTCATGAAAGCAGCACTTGTGGCATTCGTGGTGCCCCCTGCGCAGCACCTATACTTCAGACCCTCCCGTCTCTGCGTTAGCCTGCATTTCTGCCTTTGGCTTTAGACTTCCAGGACCCTCTGTCCTGTCCTCTTCTGTTGCCCGTGTTCCCTGTCTGGGTCCCTCTGACTGTCCCCTCCACCGCTCCACCGCCCCTTCTCTGCCTCCACCCTCTGCTCTGAGAGCAGACAGCGGCCCTACCTGGCCAGGGCTGTGGGCTGGGCCCGGGCTGCCCGCGCGCCTCCGCTCGCCGACCGCCCGCCCGACCCCGAGTCAAGTGAGCAGCGGGGGCGGAGCCGCGCTCTGTCCCGCCCCGGCCGCCGCGCCCGCCCCGGCCACTGCTGCAGGGAGGGAGGCCGGGTTCCGCTCGGTCGCACCTGCAGTGGCCTTGGCTGGGCTGCGACCCAGGTGGGACACGGACCGGGAGGCGATCCGCGGCGGCAGAAGCCGAGGGCGGGCAGGAACTGCCAACTCCAGCAGAGGGGCTTGTGGTCTGACACCAGGAAGGACTTCCCTGGGGTGGGTGCTAAGGGACACTTCTGGGGAAGGAAGGACTGCAGGTTCAGGCGATCTCAACGGAGACCCCGACCGAGTTTGGGACGTAAAGGTGTATCGTCAGGGTGAGGAGGGGGTAAACCCTCAGCCAGCTCGGACCCGTCGCACCCCTAGTCACAGCGCCCTCGGGGCCGGGGCCGCCCGCGCCGCAGCCTCAGCTCCTAGGAATGACTGGAATCCCGAGGAGCTCCGGAACCTGCAGACTCCCGCCCCGGAGGCGGCTCGGCGGGGGAGGCGGGCGTGGTGTGCGGGCAGCCTGCGCACCCTGCGACCCCTGGCTGCTCTGGGCACCCAGCCCGGCCCCGCCTCTGCCGTGGAAGGAGCGGGCATCCTACTTGGCACCTGTTCCCCTCCCAGGGCCCAAAGGCGGGAGCTCCGCCAGCTGGTACCCCCTGCAGAGCTCCCCTTCCTGCCCGGGGGAGGGTGGGGGGGAGGAGGGACGCATCCTTTGCCCAGGCTGGCCTGAACCCCCAACAATGAGTCCTCTGTCCCACCAAGGCCTGCCTGCTGTCACCTTTTACCTCCTCTTGTTGCGCAATCTCGCTTCCAGCAGGCTGAGGGGAGGGGAGCAGCACGGTGACAGTCACCGCACCCAGACAGGCCCCTCCTCCCCAGGGCTTGCCCTGCACGTGGGGGATTCCCTTTGCCCTCTCGCTGACCCTCCCTGCCCCTCTTCCTCCACTGGCCAACCCCAGAGGAGCAGAGAGACAGCAGGACAACAGGGCACTTGTGCCTGAGCTACCCCCTGCCAGGGAGCACGAGAGGGCAGGTCACCAAGGGATCCTGTGGGTGGGATGGGGGTGATGCCCTGAGTCCCGGCCTTGGCACCAGTACATGCAGCTGCCTCGAGGTCACCCGCAGCCCATGGGCTCCACCTCGCTCCTTATTCCCCATGGGCAGATCTCAGCACCCGTCTGGTTGGGAAGTCCCTTTTCCTGTCTAACCCCTGCTCAGCCTAGGGCAAAGCTGTCCTGTGGGTTTGTTTGCTACCTTGTGCCCTGGGTAGCTGTAGAAGCTGCCTGGCACCTATGGGCCAGCTCCCCAGGGTCCGCTTCAGGGTTCTGGGGTTGGGGGCTGGCCCCTGGTGGACCAGGACTGTGTGTGTAGGGGCCATGCACTTGTCGGTTGGTGCCTGCCTCTCTGCTCTGTGTGTCTGCCGGACCTGCTGTGCTGCCAGACCCCTGCCTTCTGGTCACTCCTTTTGTATCCTCGTGTCTGTCCCTTGGATACCGTCTCTGTGGCGGCCTTGGGGCTGTCGGTCTATCTGTACAGCGGCTGGAGCAGTGCGGCTGGCCCTGTGTGTGCCTGCATGTGCCTGCTAGGTGTGTGTCTGGGTAACGTCAGCTCGTGTCTGATGTGGCTTTGGCCGTCTGCCTGTCCCGTTGTGTCTGTCAGTGCGAAGGAGGCAGGACAGAGAGCAGAGTCCAGGGCATCCTAGTGCCGGCAGGGCTGGGCACTGGGCCCACCCCAGGGGAATCTTGTGACTCACTGGCTTCCCTGGCCAAGGAGGAGAGGAAGAGGGCAGGGCCCAGGGGGCCGGACACCCCACTTTCCTTTTCCATGTTCCTTCCCTCCTGGTGACTCATCCTCTATCTTTGTCTTGTCCAGGGCAGGGCCTTGTCTGGAGCCTGGGACAGAGCAGCAGGTGGGCACCACCAGTATGACCTGCCCTCCCCGTTCCTGCCCCTATGGCCTTGGAGTCCTTCAGTCCTTCCCAGATTGGGGGAAGGAGGGGACCTTTGTGGTGACTCTGTCCTTCCTCTCCTGGGATGCTGTGTGATGCTACCCTGCTCTGGCCTCAGTTTCCCTTCTGAACTTTGATGCTTCCTAGAGGCCCTCCCACATCTCTTCTCTCTACGAGGGGTAGGGGAGGTGAGGCCAGAAAGGGGTCGTGATAGGCCCAGAGCCCTCCTCTTCTCCCTGGAGACTTAGGGTGCTCAGGACAGACCTTTTATCTACCACCTGGGTCACTTGGAGCCCAGGGGCTCGGCCTCTCCCTGGGTGAGCTGGCTGTGGCCACAGCTCAGAGCAGTGGTCCCTGGGCCTAAGTGTGAGACCCAGGCCAGGCCAGCGTTGCTGCATACAGGGCTCCTCCAAGGGACCCACTGAGCAGTGTTACCCAGAGCCTCCATAGAGGGCTGTGTGACAGACAGGATATGGCACTGCTGGAACATGCCAGAACCTGTTGCGGATAAGATTCAGGGCCATGTGGAAATGCATGGTGTCATGATGTGTTGCTTGAGTGTGTTCACTGAACACACATTTTCTGGGGTGCTTAAAGCATGCCGAGCTTGGGGCAAGGACACGGGTCCTGCTGTTGTGAAGCTGGTGATTGAATAAATAAGTGAATAAAAAAATGGATCAATAAGTCCACAAGAGACAGGCGCTGTGGGATAGCAATGCACCTGTGCCTGTGGTGTCAGCGTTCCATATGGGCCCTGGTCCAAGTGCTAGCTGCTCCACTTCCAATTTAGCAGTGGAAGAAGGCTCAAGCGCTTGGGCCCCTGTACCCACATGGGAGACCAAGGAGAAGCTCCAGGCTCCTGGTTTTGCATCAGTCCAGCTCTGGCCATTGCTGCTGTTTGGGAAGTGAACCAGCAGATGGATGATCTGTCTCTGTTCTCTGTAAATCTGCCTTTAAAAAAAGAAATGTGTGAGTCCACAATGGTGGCACATATGCACACAGAAGAATTTCCAGGAAGTTGGTGGTCAAGACAGCCTCAAGGAAATAGCGTTTGAGGGGGCGTCATTGTGGTGTAGCAAGCTGTCTCTGCCTGTAATGCCAGCATCTCGTATGGGCACTGGTTCGAGTCCCAGATGTTCTACTTTTGATCCAGCTCCCTGCTAATGTGTGTCTGGGCGACGTCTGCTCATGTCCTAAAGCAGCAGAAAATGACCCAAGCTATTGGGCCTCTGTACCCATGTGGGAGACCTGGGTGGAGCTCCTGGCTTCTATCTGATCCATCCCAGGCTGTTGTGGCCATTTGGAAGGTGAACCAATGGGTGAGGATTTCTCTCTCTGTGTCTTTCTGTAGTTCTGCTATTTGCATAAATATATTTCTTTTTTATTGAAAAGGCAGATTTATAAAGAGAAGGAGGGACAGAAAGATTTTCCATCTGCTGGTTCACTCCTCAAATGGTTTAATGGCTGGAGCTGAGCCAATCTGAAGCCAAGAGCCAGGAGATTCTTCTCAGTCTCCCACATGGGTGCAGGATCCCAAGGCTTTGGGTTAGCCTCTGCTGCTTCTCCAAGCATAGAGCTGGATGGGAAGTAGAGCAGCTGGGACTGGAACCAGAGTCCATATAGAGTGTTAGCAGTTGCAGGTGAAAGATTAGCCAGTCAATCCATTGCACCAGCCCCACATAATTACATCCTTAAAAAAAAAAAAAGGAGGAAAAGTGATTCTTTCAAGCTGAGGGTCCTACATGACCTGCCACAGCCCTGACTGCTCCCCTGCCTGCCTCCGTCACCGAGGCTTGGCAGCCCAAGTACCACTGTTACCCTATTGGACCAACTTGGGCCAGCCTCAGGGCTTTTGCTCATGTTGACCATCCTCCTAGAAACCCTCCCAGCCTCCTAGGAGTGGCCACTTCCACATTCTTCAAGCTTCAGCTCAACCCTGTGTTAGCGGGAGCAGAACCAGGCTGAAGCCAGGAGCTAGGAACTCTGCCCTGATCTTCCATATGCGTGCAGGGATTCGAGGGCTCTGGTCCTTTTCTGCTTCTTTCCCAGGCACATTAGCAGGGAACTGGATCAAAAGTGGGACAACCGGGACTTGAACCAGCACCCATATGGGATGCTGACATTGCAGGCAGAGGTATAGGGTGCTGTGCCACCCTCCTGGTCTCTTAAATTGTCTTCTGAACATTGAAGAAGTTAAAACCTGAGTGTGAACTTGCTCAGCTTTCATGTATGGTAGCCCATCCTGGCTGCTGTCTAATGAACAAGTGGATTCAGGGAGGCAGGGGAGGGGGAACCAGACTAGAGATGCTCAGGTTGGGGCTAGGCTGCTGTTCAGTGGCAGCTAGTAGAGAAGGGTCCATCTGAGACACGTCCTGGAGGTGGAGCAGACAGATCACAGAGGGAGCAGCCAAGACAGGAAAAATCAAGGAAGGTTTCGTGATGTCTAGTTGGGGTATTAAAGATGGCTGCACCCCTGGCAGGTCCAGAGCAGTCCTGACCCTCCAAGCTACATGGGGCCTGACCACTGGAGTAC